GATGAGGACCAATCGAACTGTTCGGTAGACAAAGTCTCTGTGCCGGAACAGAAACAATCCCCACCCACAGGGACCGGCACGATGGAAACCATGATGGCTCAACTGTTGGCCCACCTGGATAAGGTTGACCAACGATTGGAGAGGTTGGAAAGCAGGTCAACAGCTGAGAATCAGGAAAAGAACGGGACAAAACAGAGACAGGTTGGACGGCCGCGACCCGCCGGTCCATCGCTCCGGTGGACGGCTGACGGTCGACCAATTTGCTTGTCCTGTTCACAACCCGGACATATGACACGGTACTGTCCGGTGAAACGATCGCCCTCTGTAAGGCAGGTCAAGGCTACAGAGCGGCGAGGTTATGGCGTAAGAAACAAAAGGAAACAAACAATGAAAGAGTCTCAAACAAGACTCGAAGAGAAATTATCAGATATTGAAAAAATGAACTGTGAAATGAACTTGAATGTTGAAAAGTTTCAAGTGAACAATTTGTTGGCTAAGAAAAAAAATGATAAGGAAGAAATTGGTAGACTTAATGATGAGATCTCAAGGTTAACCATGAAACTGGATAGGGAAAGTTCATGCAAAGTAAAAGCACAGGAGAAACGTTCATCTGTAGAGTGTCTGTTATCTGAAGAAGAAAATAGAAACTTTGTACCTGGTTTTGCAAAAATTGCCGCACCGTTGCATGACTTAAGAAACAAAATGACAAAGAAAAACAGTAAGGAGAAAAAGAAAGGTAAAACACAACTGATAGGTGAATTATGGACTGATGAATGCCTGAACTCGTTTAAGCTCTTGAAAAAGGCTTTGACAGAGACGCCGATATTAGGATACGCGGACTTTGACAAACCATTTCGGCTAGAAATTGACGCCAGCTCTAAAGGTCTGGGAGCTGTGCTATCACAACAACAAAAGCAAGGTTTCAGGGTTATTGCGTATGCCAGTCGAGCTCTGAAGGAATCAGAGAAGAACATGACAAATTACAGCGCCATGAAACTAGAACTTTTGACATTAAAATGGGCTGTGACTGAAAAATTCAGGGACTATCTATTAGGTGCTAAATGTGTGGTATACACTGACAATAACCCCTTGAGTCACCTAAAGACAGCAAAGTTGGGATCCATCGAACAGCGATGGGCAGCAGAATTGGCACTCTTTGACCTGGAGATAAAATATCGCCCGGGGCGGTCCAATGGCAATGCGGACGCTTTATCAAGGAATCCGTACGAGAGACCGGGCGATGAGGAAGAAACGCTGACAGGAATAGGTGAGGTCAGAGCGTCAACAGATATCCCTCACGGGGTGCAAGTGATGCAAAACGGACAGACCGGGGTGGAGCACATATCCACAGAGCCCGGACATATGGACATTAGTGATTTTAATTGCCTTAATAATAAAGAGATAAGAGATGCCCAGAGAACGGATAGTGGCTTACAGCCGCTGTGGAAACACGTCCAGGAACAAAAATTCCCAGGAAGAAGGGAAAGAGAACAATTTGGTCGGGAAACAAAGAAAATACTGAGTCAGTGGGACCGTCTCAGTATAAAGGATGGTGTTCTCATGCGGAGAATTCATGACCAAATTGATGGGACAATACACCAGGTGGTGGTGCCTGGACAATTACGAGAAGAAGTGCTAAGGTTGGCACATGACAGGGCAGGACACCAGGGTCAGGACAGGACGCACAAAATATTACGACGGAGGTGTTACTGGCCCAATATGGAGATGGAGGTCAAACGCCATTGTGAGGCTTGTGTGAGGTGTCAGCATGCGAAAATGCCAGTTGTCAAAATGAGACAGCCACCAGGACACCTACTAGCGACAAAACCACTAGAGATTGTGGCTATGGACTTTACGTCGTTGGAGCAATCATCGGATGGGACGGAACATGTGTTGGTAATGACTGATGTATTCACCAAATGGACTGTGGCGGTGCCCACACGAGATCAGACTGCCAAAACAGTGGCAAAGGTCTTAATAGAACATTGGTTCATCAAATATGGCATACCAAGACAATTACACTCTGACCAAGGAAGGGCCTTTGAGTCAGAAGTAATTAACCAACTGTGCAGCCACTACGGGATCAACAAATCTAGAACAACCACATTTAATCCGAAAGGAAACGGACAGTGCGAGCGGTTCAACCGCAGCATGCATGATTTGCTGCGTACCCTAGAACCTGAACAGAAAAAACGTTGGCCTGATTTTCTCCCAGAGTTGGTATATCTATACAACTGCACCCCCCATGCCACAACCGGCTTTTCGCCACACATGTTGCTGTTCGGACGGGAGGCTCGACTCCCTCTTGACTTGTTCCTAGGAAAAAAGGAGAGTATGACTGGCTCATACACTGCACTGGAATATGTGAATGAACATATGAGACGAAATAGAGAAATGTACAGGGTAGTACAGGAAAGACTAGAACATGAAGCACGGCGAAGGGAACCGCCGGTACAGACAAAGGACCCGCCACTCAAACTGAACGACAGGGTATTACTGCGTAGCCACCCGTTAGGCAGAAACAAAATCCACGACCTCTGGGGACAGGAGATATGGCAAGTCGTGGAGATGCCTAAAGTAGCAGGTGGCCCCCTTAAGATAAGACCCATCGATCACACCAAACCGGATCGGTGGGCGAATATTGCTCAATTAAAGAAATATTGTCATAGTCAAGAAGAGCAGTTACACACAAGGAAACCCAAGACAATTAGGGAACCGGAAACTATAACGGAAATTCACATACCCATCCCGGAACCATGTCACCATCAACAGAACAACAGCGATACACAAGTGGAGGATAACGGCAACGAAGAGGATCCCGTTCCTCCCAGAAGCAGAGAGACAGTAGACCATCAGATAAGTGGTCCGCGGAGAAGTTTGAGAAACAGAAAGAATACGAAATTTTTTTGTCAGCAACCATCAATTCTTTCATGGTCGCGCTGGTATGACAACAGACTGTTCAAAAAGTCATACAAGTGAACTGGTGAAGGCACCAAACGAAAAAAGGTGGATGTGAATTCTAGAACTGTTTTGTGTCTGAGGAAGATGATGTAGACACATTTGATATGTGAAATAGGGTGCGATTGACTTTGAAGGACTGCACCTGCCAAGCGTTGTTTGTGGTTGATAACACACAAAAAAAGGCAGGGGTGGATGTAACTAGGGGAAGTTACCAGAGACATAAGAACGCAGTACAGCGCTGTCAACTTTGACACGACTGATGTAATAACGCAGGTGTTGGCTGATAACGATCAGAAAGCCAAGGCGTAGTATCTTGGGAAGCGATACGATAAGAACGCAATACGGTCTGTCAACTTTGATGTGACAGGATGCAGATGGCTTATTAAATCGGACTGTACGACAGAAGCGGCGTAATTAACATTCTGATGCAACGATTAGAATCGATTACGATTACGATTATGATAGAACCGAATACGATTACGAATACGAAGGGGATATATAGGAAGGCGACGGCTGAGCTCGCTCTCTCTCTCGATCAGTCAGTCAGTGTGGCAGTATCAAGTTGGTTATTGAACGGGTTAGCCGTATTGTGTTAAGAAGGACGATAGACATGTGCATTCAGTTATGTGAAGACTAGTGAGGACTGTTGGGGGTCAGTTGATTCAGACTATTATTGTGAAGCATTCCTTTTGATTCATTATATTATTGTGAAGCATTTCTTTGATTCATGTAATAAAAGGATCAATAGCGAACCTGCATCTTCGAGTATCTATACTGTGGTCGATGTTGTGTAGAATGAGTGGTTAGACTCGGTAACATTTGGCGTTGTCGAGCAGAACTCGTTAACATTTGGCACTACAGGCAAATAGTCTCGTTACATATATATATATATATATATATATATATATATATATATATATATATATATATATATATATATATATATATATATATATATATATATATATAAAGAAATGCCTCAGCCTTCAGTCGCTGACAACAAACAGCTGTAGCTATGATAACAGTCCCGTGTAACGCCCATGAGACCAGTTCTACTAAAAGCTACATGACTCCACAATTATTCAAATCTCTTGAGCTTTCCTAGCTCCCAGAGCTTCTGACTAGTCCCATCAATAATCAACGAAAAGATATATATATGTGTGTGTGTGTGTGTATGCTATATATGGGCTGCATATATATATATATATATATATATATATATATATATATATATATATATATATATATATATATATATATATTCCTAGTGATTCCAGCCATATCCAAATCTCCGCATTGATCCCGTGGTGCCAGAAAAAAATGCCAAGTTTTAACGATCTGCAAACACAGTCCCTGAGGTCATATGTGCCTGATGACGATCTTTCAGCATTAAAAAGATTTTTTTCGCTCGACGGCCCGGGGTGCTGGGCACTGGGTGAATACATAGGGCGCCAGACTCACAGCAGGGCGCTGTCTAATAAATAGCAATCACGGTTTTATTGGGGGTTTATTGTTTTTATTAAAGGGGAGTTTACTCGAGCTGTTGTTTTGTTTGGTGGAACCTGTTTGTTTGTATTCGAGAGGACTCATGCAGTGTATGGTCTAGAAATCGGTATTTATTGGGTTTTTTTTTTATATTGTATACCAGTATTCGAAAGTATGTATAAATTGAGTATTTATTTACGTACATTTATCCCAAAAAAAATCTGGTTAATAAATACAATCAAACTAGTAATAATAATAAGCCCCATGCGCGGTCTATTTATAAATTAGAAATTATCGTTGAAACATCTACTTTAAACTGCTTGTTGTGAAGTTCCATCCGACATAGACCCCCCCCCCCCCCCCACACACACACACAGACACACAAAAATTCAAAAAATTCAATCCGATTAGATTCCTTATTTCTCTTAGTCCCCCCCCCCCCCCCTTCTTGGTTAGTACTAACAAACCCCTTTATCCCCTCCCACGAAGACACCCCAAAAAGCCGACCCCCATCCCCAACCCCCACCCCCTCCGGTGGTAACAACAGTACTCACCCTTCCCCCAGAGGCAGAACCTGTCATCAAAGTAGATCTCCTCCTTCTCGTGTTCCACTTCCGTCTTCCAGCCAATCTCCCGCCATTTCGCCCTCGCTGCCCCGCGGAACCTCAGCTCGACCCCTGTGGATGGGAGAAAATATTAGACTAGACCCCTGTAGATGAGAGAAAATATTAGACTAGACCCCATCTCGACCCCTGTGGATGGGAGAAAATATTAGACTAGACCCCTGTAGATGAGAGAAAATATTAGACTAGACCCCATCTCGACCCCTGTGGATGGGAGAAAATATTAGACTAGACCCCTGTGGATGGGAGAAAATATTAGACTAGACCCCTGTGGATGAGAGAAAATATTAGACCAGACCCCATCTCAACCCCTGTGGATGGGAGAAAATATTAGACTAGACCCCTGTGGATGGGAGAAAATATTAGACTAGACCCCTGTGGATGGGAGAAAATATTAGACTAGACCCCATCTTGACCCCTGTGGATGAGAGAAAATATTAGACTAGACCCCTGTGGATGGGAGAAAATATTAGACTAGACCCCATCTTGACCCCTGTACATGAGAGAAAATATTAGACTAGACCCCATCTCGACCCCTGTGGATGGGAGAAAATATTAGACTAGACCCCTGTGGATGAGAGAAAATATTAGACTAGACCCCATCTCGACCCCTGTGGATGGGAGAAAATATTAGACTAGACCCCATCTTGACCCCTGTGGATGAGAGAAAATATTAGACTAGACCCCTGTAGATGGGAGAAAATATTAGACTAGACCCCATCTTGACCCCTGTACATGGGAGAAAATATTAGACTAGACCCCATCTCGACCCCTGTGGATGGGAGAAAATATTAGACTAGACCCCATCTCGACCCCTGTGGATGGGAGAAAATATTAGACTAGACCCCTGTGGATGGGAGAAAATATTAGACTAGACCCCTGTAGATGAGAGAAATATTAGACTAGACCCCTGTACATGAGAGAAAATATTAGACTAGACCCCTGTAGATGAGAGAAATATTAGACTAGACCCCTGTGGATGAGAGAAAATATTAGACTAGACCCCTGTAGATGAGAGAAATATTAGACTAGACCCCTGTACATGAGAGAAAATATTAGACTAGACCCCATCTCGACCCCTGTACATGAGAGAAAATATTAGAATAGACCCCATCTTGACCCCTGTGGATGGGAGAAAATATTAGACTAGACCCCATCTCGACCCCTGTACATGAGAGAAAATATTAGACTAGACCCCATCTCGACCCCTGTGGATGAGAGAAAATATTAGACTAGACCCCATCTTGACCCCTGTACATGAGAGAAAATATTAGAATAGACCCCTGTAGATGAGAGAAATATTAGACTAGACCCCTGTACATGAGAGAAAATATTAGAATAGACCCCATCTCGACCCCTCTAGATGAGAGAAAATATTAGACTAGACCCCATCTCGACCCCTGTGGATGGGAGAAAATATTAGACTAGACCCCTGTGGATGAGAGAAAATATTAGACTAGACCCCATCTCGACCCCTGTGGATGGGAGAAAATATTAGACTAGACCCCATCTCGACCCCTGTACATGAGAGAAAATATTAGAATAGACCCCATCTCGACCCCTGTGGATGGGAGAAAATATTAGACTAGACCCCATCTCGACCCCTGTGGATGGGAGAAAATATTAGACTAGACCCCATCTCGACCCCTGTACATGAGAGAAAATATTAGAATAGACCCCTGTAGATGAGTGAAAATATTAGACTAGACCCCTGTAGATGAGAGAAGATGTTAGACTAGACCCCATCTCGACCCCTGTAGATAAGAGAAGTAGTTAGACTAGACAACCCTAGACACTGTGAAAGTCAGGGACAGAGTGACGACCTAAACACTCCCTGGCTGACCCTCACAACAAGTCACCTTTGTTTACAAGTGCACTTTGAAGTTTTAATAATTTAATCACGTGATTTAGTTAAATCATTCAATGCAGACTCCCCAACTAATCACAAACACTAAAAAATAATTTTCGCACTTAAAATCTGAAATGTCATCAAACACAAGACGAAAGCGTGAGTGAGCATACGGAGTTGCCGGTTAAATTTTCTTAATTGCTGGACTTTTGCGGTTTCCCCGACTTCCATTTGTCAATTCAAATCAATAAACTCGAACTCAATTTTTTTTTTAGGTGCCAGGTTTTGACGCGGCGTTTAAAAGCCAGAATGAAAAATTATTACAGAATAATTTTTGTCATTGGCTTTGACAATTAGGTCAGTATATATTGGGGTTATGGTTTTGAAAGTTTGCTCAGAACTTCAAATAATTTAGTAAGGGTGTTATTAAAGTAATATTTTTAAAACTAGGACAAATTGTTTTGTTTTGTGTAGGACCGGAGGGAGGGGGGAGCGGGGGTTGATTTAGTGTGGTGGTAGGACATACACCTGTCAGCATAGCGTCTTAATTAGGGTTAAGATAATCCTTTAAGTAGTTTTGTCAGTCTCTTATTGTAATAAACACTAATGTTCTATCACCCCCCCCCCCCCCCACCGCTACCCCACACTCTGTGTTGACAGAGTTCAGACAAGATTTTGGAAAAATATCATATTTTAAGAAAAATTCAACTGTAATTTTGGGTTGTAGGCTTTTTGTGACGATGTGTGACGGAGGGGGTGGGAAGCGGGGGGGTAAAAATCGTCCAAAAAAGCGTGACGTCATTTATGGATGACCCCCTAAAACCCCCACCCCACACAAGAAAACATTCAAGTACTAAAACCCATAAATCTCATTACATTGTGCTGATGCACTTATACATTCCCTCTAATACAAGCCAATGTTAATTTACTTCGCTTCAAAATGTATCTATTTTTATCCCAATTCCACCGGCCATTAACTCATCCGGTCAAACAATTGAAGGTTGCGTACCTCGCTTACCCACGATTATAGGTATCTCTGTAACTGCCCATCCACTGAGTTATCTCTTTGATGATGGGACAGGTTGCGTTTTATTCCTACCCAGATTGAAACACTGTGTTCAAGTTAACGACCATTCTCTGCAGACGTCAATACCTAGCCTCTCAGCCTACTCAGTGCTCAGATTGTGGAGCGATTGAAAACTTTTTTTTGTGGATTCCTGGTTTTAGAACAGTTCACTTAACGTCAGTCACAAGTTAATCCTCATCACGTGATCACCGAAAGCACTTAATCTGACCAATCAAACCACGCTTAGAGATGGATCGGAATAAAGAGAATATGAAAACAAAACGTGCCCAAAAATAATGATGGGAAAGAATATATTCGAGAAAAGAAATCGAAACTAGGACACGTGTGTAAGTCCCTATTTGTAGTGTGCTCCGCTGACCGTAAAGGAAAAATGCACGTGTGTTCGTGTGTTAGCAAAATGTATTTACCAAAGTCGGAATAATGTCGAAAACAAAAGAAAATTTTTGTAACAAAAATAATACTTCAAACTAAATCAAATATAGCCTTCTAGTCCTAATAAGTCAACTCTAATTCTAACGATATGAATGATGTAGTTCACGTTTATTTTCATTCCCTAGTCGTGTGTTGAAGTTAAGGGAAAAACTTCCATAAACGGTAGACACATTATTAAAAGAAAAATATTCATGCAGCAGTTATATTTGTAAGTTACATTACATTTAAAAACTTTCCATTTCAATCGCGCCTAATTATAAGCTCCTAAACTTGAGATGTATAAGGATTAGTGTGTTTAATGTCTTCTATCTCTAATGAAAGTATTATTTCTATTAAAACTGTTTCTCTCTATCATTTCCTCACAACTCTCAAATTCCTTATACTTATATAGCTATTGAACTTTGATTAAACTTTTTAATCAAGCTCTCCTATAGGAACTTATATTTCCATTTTACACAACTACTCTCAGAAAAGTCGTTTCATTTTAGCTCCATTCACAATTATCCTCTACGTTCTATTCCCTCACGATTACTCCCTCTTCACTAAACAATTCTCCCTATCTAAGCGATTGTCTCCCTTCAGTACGATTTGTCTCCCTTCACAATCATAGTCCTACTCTCCAGTTCCAGAGATTATTCCATGTGAAGCCCTTTAATCCCGGCACCGAACCAGGATTTCAGTCAAGAGCCTCGCAACAAAAATCAGCCCACCTATATGCCACAGCGGAGCCACAAAATTCATTATCCCCCTCTGGGCACGAATCAAGTGGCCCCTAATTCAATACTACCCCCACCCGTCGGGTCGGAGCATAATAGCCGTCGCTGGGCTAGAAAAGATATCTCATTAGGACGGGAGGGGAGGGGGTGGTGAGATTAAAGCAAGAGGGGGTGGGGGGGGGGGGGGTTCGAAAAGTTTCAGTGTCGGTTGGATTATAAATTGTAGCAGTATACATGTGTATACCTGGATACACAGACACACATACACGCATATATATATATATATATATATATATATATATATATATATATATATATATATATATATATATATATATAAAACAGTACAAAGAAACTGCTGTGTGTTTCGACACAGTTTTCAGTTTGTTCGTTTACAGTCGTATTTTGAATCAAACAAATCCGCAATGATCCAAAAAACAAAATCCATTAAGGAAAATATTTTTAAAGGTTTCTTTTTTTTTTTTGACACACAGAGATGGTGTTCTTCTTTCTGTTCCTGCTAGCACCGTCGAGTGATGATAAACATCACACATCATAGTCTAATGATGATCTAACATCCACACATCACAGTCGAGTGATGATCTAACATCACACATCATAGTCTAGAGATGAACTGACATCAGCACATCACAGTCTAGTGATGATTTAACATCAGCACATCACAGTCTAGTGATGATCTAATATCCACACATCACAGTCGAATGATGATTTAACATTCATACATCACATTCTAGTGATAAACTAACATCACATATCACAGTATAGTTATGAACACATCCATACATTTCTGCAAAGTGTTTATGTATCACACACAGCGTTGGTCAATAGATCATAGTTCCACCATGCCCCATAAAGAACCGACACAACACATTTCTATCTGACTAACTGAGATCAATAATGGTTGGTATTTATTCATAGATCCTCGTCAACTCTACTCCCATTACAAGGC